CGAACCCGGTACCTCATGATCAGCAATCGCGTTTACGAGCACTAGACCAACGAGGCAGTCAAAATAAAGAAAACATGTTTGATAATAACACCTGGGAATGAGGTGATTGCTACCATACCGGTCCTAAATGTTTTCACACTTAATTGTATTAAATTAATATTATATTGTAAATTAATGTTTAAGAAAAGACCCGCTGTGTTTCTTGCTGGTTCCTCCCAGGACAGAGTTTTTTTTCGGAACCAGTGGTAAAACTTAAATGACTTTCAATAAGTATTCCTGCATACAGGAGTGTACTTGGGTTTGGATATAATTTTATTAATTATGGCATCCCATGCAGATGGTAGTGTAGTATAGAGGCGCAGTCGTCGCGCCACAAGCGAAACGCACCGAAACCTAAATCACGCTATCAAATATCAACACAGAGCGTTGACTGCTCCCCGGGCTGATCATCTTACTCGATGGGCGCTCTTCCCGTTTCCTTATACGGGCAAAGTGATGATCCCGACGTGATGTGAATACGCATTACGCAATATGCAATTTTATACGAGGTAGAGCCATGCTGCAGCATTATTAGTAGTATAGTTGTAGCACGAATGGGTCGGCTCGACCGGGAATGACCACGCTCTCACAGAATACCAGCGTAAACTAGCAGCTTAACACTGCTGTGTTTTGTACAGTGAGCGTAGCGAACCGGAGACCCTTTTTACTGGAAAAGAGGTATGCCATCTTAGTCCTCACGGGTGACAACGCAACTGCATTTTGATTCGCAAACGAGGATAGATGTAGATGTCTTTTGGGCTACAGCAATCACATACTATCAGGTGGACTGGACGAGCACACTCTTTTGTCACCCTATCCTATAAAAAAAAAAAGACCAAAGACTTTCTGGTCATGACCTGATATTAATCGGTTTATTTAAAAGAATTTAAATGTACTTAAAGTATTATAAAATTTATACAATACTAGCTGGCCAGGCAGACGTTGTTCTACCCTTTCCGACGACCATTCCTTAAAAAATTCTTAAATTCGCAATAACAAAATATTGAGGGTCACTTATCGGGATAAAAACTATCCTATCTCTCAAGTTGGACCAAACTGCACACAGTTTGAAAAATTACATTGAAATCAGTTCAGTAGTTTAGAAGTTCATCGCGGACAAACAATGTGACACCTTTGTAACACGTAATTTTTATATCTATTCTGTTTATGTAATCCTTTTCAGAGCATTAATTAAACATGAGAATACGAGCGGCACAAGTGGCCGCCGGCTGTCGGGTTTAGATCTCTGTTAACTCCAGGCTGCACTTATAAATTTAACATTAACTTACTAAAATACTCTTGATTAAAGTAAGATATTTTGCAGAACACAATCACAAGTATCAATGCAGCAATTGGTAGGACTCCTTTTCCGCCAGAGTCCGTTTCCTCTTACCTATTTCTGACGCCAAACAGTGGTGCGTCCAGTTTCCGTAACTCATTCACTTGGTGAGACTAGAAGTGTTTAAAAATAGAAACAACCCTTCTTCATTACAAGAATTTTCTAAAAAAAAAATGGGTGTATAGCCCGCCGCGCGATGCAGTCCGGTACTTCCCTTAATACCCTGCATGACCGAGTCTTGCGGTAGATGTTAAATTTCACCGAAGTTCGTAAGGTGAACTATGGATTCCACGGGGTGACGATAAAACAAATAACTTACAAAAATTCATCCAAATCCGTTCTGCCATTACGGCGTGATTAATTAATATTCTCAACTACTATTCACACATTCAGAAACATTAAAACTTTCGTATATGTATGTATTTTATCCATGATATATTTATGACTACAAGAATTCGATTATTAAACGGTCTACTAAACGTCGCCGGATTTTCAAGTTGTCATCTGTGAGATTACGATAGTAAATTTCTTAACTCTAGAACTCGAAGGAACCCAATTTTTTTAAAAGGTTATATAGGAGTTAAAAGTAAAAAGAGTGCTTACAGATGGAGAGATGTAATAGAATACGATGTGTTAGATTTACCATATAAGGCTGCATCAACACTTACCACCAGGTGGGTTTGTGCTCAATCACTGGCTTATAAGTAAAAAAAAGATAAAAAGGGATTTACAATGATAAGACATCAACGCGCATCGCGTACTATAAAAATATTAGTTATTTTTCTCACGCGATCTCAGTACCGTATAAGCTGAACAGCGTATTAATAAAATAATATTTAAAAAAATATTTATTTACTAATTGAAAGTAATTCCATTTGTTAAATAACATGCGTTTCTTCTACTTTTTCTAAACCATATTTGTTACAATCAATGATGAAAGCAATATATAAGTTTATTTTTGGGAAAAGAAAACATACGCGAAACTTCAATGTTGTCGGTACTAAGGAATTCCTATCTTCTACCTACTTTACTCTTGGCTAAGGAAATGCCCGTTAAGTCAAATTTGTAGTATGTTATTGTTCTACTAATTTCATCGAAACCTACAGGTTTGTATTGAAAAGTATTTTTTTAAGCTAAGTAGCAAAATAAATATAATTTTGCAAATATTACATATACACGATAGACATGCAATTCAGATCCAGAGTGGGCTCTCTCATACCAATTTTCCTATAAAGGCGTTTGACATGTACTATCTAATTTGATTCTTCTGTATATTCTCTCCTAAAAATCTGAAATCTCGGATCCGCCTTGTCATTACAATTCCTTCTGTCATTTAAGGGAAAGTGGACGCATAGAGCTAATTTTACATACACGAGCGTAAGCATTGAGCAACATATAGGCTAAGAATTTCAATGTTGATGATGGATAACTTATCGTTTACAGTCAACGTCTTTTCTAGTGAAGCAAAGTATATATAATATTAAATGGATATTTTGTCTTAGAAAACGCAGTTATAAAAATTTAATATGATTTTGCTTGTTTAATTTTTATAACTGTGTTTATACAGGTTGGCCCATAAGTCCCTTGAAATGTAAAAAAATAATTAAAAAAAAACTAATGACATTATGAAAAAGGTTTTTATTTTGTCATAATTCTTATAAAATGGGAATTATTTTTTGAAAATTACATCATCTAAATGTAATCCGTTACGATCGCGGCACTCCTGTAAGCGACGTTTAAAATTATCCATCACTGCGTGGCAAGTAAGCTCTGTAATGTTTGCCATTTCTCTTTGGATATTTTCTTTCAGGACGTCAATTGTCCGCGGGTTGGTTTCGTACACTTTAGTCTTAAGATAACCCCATAAGAAAAAGTCCATTGGGGTCAGATCTGGACTACGTGGTGGCCAAGGAATATCTCCTCTTCGAGAGATCACTTTATTAGGGAAAAGTTGACGGACGACCGGCATAGCGACGTTAGAGGTATGGGCAGTTGCTCCATCTTGTTGAAACCAGGTCCGCGTATTGAAGACTGGAAAATTCTGCAACTCTGGTGTAAAAAAGTCCTGGATCATAGCTACATACCGTTGTGAAGTAACAGTAAGCGCGCGGCCTCTGCCGTCCTCAAAAAAGTAAGGGCCTATAATGCCATGCGCTGACATAGCCGCCCAAACTGTCACTTTAGGGCTATGTAAGGGCTTTTGATGTTTGCGATTTGGATTTTCGCAACTCCAGTAGCGACAATTTTGCTTATTGACATGGCCGTTGATGTGAAAGTGAGCCTCATCAGAGAATAACACGTTATTAAACGAAGTAAAGCGGTTCAACATTTCATTTGCGAAATTTAGTCTGTGGATAGTGTCAGTATCTTTTAATTCCCGTACTAACTGAATCTTGTACGGGTGAAGATGTAAATCTTTCTTTAAAATTCGCTGTAACGATGTTCTGGGTAAGTTTAATGCACTGGAACGCTTACGAGTAGACTGGGTAGGATTTTCACGAATTGAGTGTTTCACTACATCGATGTTTTCTTCCGTCCGTGATGTCCTTGGTCGACCTGACCGTTGTTTATCCAACGTCGAACCACTCTCTTCGAACTTAATAACCCAGTTCTTAATCGTTTGAACACTTGGAATGTCTTTAAAGTTGCGTAAATTCTGATATTCTCGAAATTTACGCCGCGCAATGGTAGCCGAATCATTGTTTCGATAAAACTCGCGCACACAAAATGCACGGTCCGCACCGGTGAAACGCTCCATGGCGACTGAATTCCCAGAAACCGTCGGTACTCCCCCCGCACCGCGCGCGCCACTCATGCGCGCCTTTTGTATTTTATTCGAAATTTACATTTCTAACGACTTATGGGCCACCTGGTATTATGACAATGCCTGACGATTTATTTTAAACTTTTCATGCGAAGATATACGCTAAAGTTACCGCATTTGTACGCTAATTTAATAATTTGCGTTAAAGTTATAAAGAAAAGTTTGAAAGTCAGAAATGTCTTTAAATATAGCATTTCATTGTAGCCTCAGAAGTGATAACGTATCTATGGTCTTCTTTGTTTTAAATGTAATGCATGGACCATTAACTACAATGCGAACTGCTAGCATGTTCGTAGCTTTAATGTTATAAAAGAAAGAATTCTCGCGATAAAACTTTAAAATAAATCTTTAATTATGACACACATAGACATTTATAAAGATTAAACGTGCTGGAAAAAATGCTTATAGATATACATAATATTTGAATATTCTAGAGCACCTTGAACGGAAATTCTGACTGCTCAACTCACTCTGGTAACACATACACCACATCAACTATTTACAAAATACTTCACTTCATCTTTTTTATCGTTGCGAGTTACCTGCTCAGTTTCGAATTTTAGAATTGAGTGTGATGAATTTTACTTGGGCATACTCAGTATATTTCATATTGAGTCTAGATTTTCTTAATATATTTTTATTCATAATGTTTTAGTGCATGTTTTCACACAGAAGTCAATTTAGCTTTTCGTTAATAATGTTTTACTGGAAGAGATTGCCTAAAGGCACTACGTTCGCCCTTTGTAATCCTTTTAAGATGTAAACGATAAAGTATAAATAAATGGTTATCTCCCATAGTTGGAGTGCTTATATTACGATTTGGGTCTACCTCACCGAGACGCTACCAACGATCAGGTGACTATTGATGCTGCCCACGCCATTCTCAAGCACAATGTCGGCATCAAGTGCGCTACCATAACACCAGACGAGCAGAGAGTTGAAGGTAATTTCTTAAATTTTCTCTTAAAAATAGAAATATATTTACTAAACCAAAATACATCAGGTAAAATATATAATGTAAGTACAATAAAACCGTCTCTGCAGCTCGAGCTTTGATGGCTTGAATCGCAGGAACCAAGAATATTGAATGACGCTGTTTATAGAGATGTAGATTATATTAAGAGATTATAGAGGTAGAGAGATAAAGGCCTGGGTACTCAGTTCAAAGTCTGCTGAGTTGCTAAGATAAGTGTGTGCGGGCATGATTGCGTTCATGCACACTGTGTGCATGCGTGCATGCGTGCGTGCGTGCGTACGTGCGTATTTGTGCAGCGAAACTAAGTTTTCCATTAAAGTTAGAAAAAGTTTCCTTGCTTAATGAAATTAAATGATGTGTCTTACCTAGTTTGAAGAGCACCTCCAGCCCTCCATCAATTGCGTGCACTATCCCAGTCACCACTACTTCCAACACAACTACACTAGGAACAACACTACACCGACGATAATACGACACGTGTTTCGCCTCTACACGAGGCATCCTCAGGTGAAGTAAACTCTGCGGTGGCTGACCACGGAGTCTACTTCACCTTTTTACTAAGTTTTCCGTTTTTTGGTTAGAAGTATGAAGTAACCAGGACGTAAATTTTTCGTTAACTTTGCTAATGGACTAGGATCTCATTTCTAGGCAGAAACATCGACTTTCGTGTAGTCTTAGTCAGAAGAAAGAATGAGTATAGTAGGAAGTTCTCAAAACCCTACTTGAAGCCCTTCAAAAGCTGTGTGCGTTACTCTAGTGGCATGGAGTAGAAGTGCAATGGACTTGATCTCCAAGAAAGATGACAATACTCATTGTAGAGATACAGACCGATTTACTCTTTGGGCCGCGTCTACGTGCCGTTTTTGAGAGTCATTACGAATCGTCTCGCATGCAGACTCAGTAACAGGCTCACACATATTCGGATTCCCAGCCTCCCAAACAAGCCATTTTAAAAAAGGCTTTACTACTTTAACTTTTTTACTACTAAAAAAGGATTTACCGAAGAAATTTAGGCGGTGCTACATACAGTCCCTTCAGCAGTGTTAGATTGGCTGTCGGTATATCGAGGTACTATTAAGTGTTTGTAGAGTAGGTCTACTTTGGCTATCCGAGTACATAACCTAAGCACAAAATCTATCATCAATACAAATCAAAACAACAATCTATCAATAACAGCTGAGTGTGTAAAATAGGGTAACGTTTTATCCCCGAAACTCTTCACCGCAACCATGGAAGATGTTTTCAAACAACTGAACTGAAAAGGTATCAACATCAATATGTAAGTACATTATTCGCCTTCGATTCGCCGACAATAAAGTAATTATGGCGGAATTACTGGAGCACTATGCTCAATGACTTTAATATTAATAGTGTTTCAGACGAGGTCTTAAAATATACATGGTAAAATATACATACAAAGGTCATGTATAACGTCCATATCATATCTATGCCGGTAATTGAGTATGATTACCTGGGATAAATTGTCCAAATAGATAAGTCCACCTTCAAACGAAGGTTCAATCGATGCATCGAATTTGGCTGGGTAGCCCTCGGGTGATTACGACACATCTTCTCCTTCACATATACTTCATAACCAGAAAACAAGAGTGTACAACCAGTGCGTTGTTACCAGTAATTAAATATTTGATGGATCTGAGACGTGGCCCTTCGCTGCTGGCCGTATGAGAAAGCTCAAGGTCGCTCAGCGAGGTATGACGAGGGTTATGCTAAGAATTTCTCTGCGTGATGGATGTAGTAATAAAAATATCCGCTGTAGAACCACAGTAACCGACATAACTCAACGTATCAGCCGTTATTACTGAAGTGGCAATGGATGGTAAGATACTCAGTCGATATTATCTGTCAGTTAGTTTGTCAAGTGAATTTCATTTTAATGATTATAATTTTGATTCTTGCTTCGTTGGTTGGTGTTGACTATGTCCAATTTATAGCTCAATAATCTCCAAACAAATATACTTAAAATATAAAAAATAAGTTCAAATCTCTGAACAGTCCTGGCATTCCGGCTAAGTTTACGGTACCCCTTATTGCTTCTCCAAAATTTAAACACATGGAAATTGTGTAATGGAGCCAGATTAAAAGTGACAAATTCTATTTCTATTCTATCAACACGAAGAGTGATCAAAATTCCGCTACGCAAGTGAGTGTTTTTATATCGGGTATTCCCCTCATTCCAAACACATCCAGTTTCTAACAGCTACCTTGCGCAGATCGTCGCTTCATCTGATCAGCGGGTGTTCCCTAGTTTAGCGTTTGCCTAGACGCGGTCTCCACTCCACGACACGTCTACTCCACCGGCTGTCACTGCTGCATCAGACGTGGCCAGCCCATTGCCACTTCTGAAGTGGCAAAGAGCTGGCCACGTCTGTCGTTGTCACGTCAACTGGTCACGTTTAGTTAATTTACACCATTTATTTAATCTCAATATCACCCTATTTCTATCCGTCAGTTGTAAGTAGGAAAAGTAAGTAAGATCTCATGACCTTCAAAAGATATAACTATTTTGTTTACGTATAACCATCTCGACTACGCTACGAGTAGACTTAACATTATCGACGATGAGGCGCAATGTCAAAAGTGCGAAACTAATGGTATTGCGATAAAATGCGTCCGCCAATCGTGGAAATTAAGGCAAGTTCTCCTTATAACGGGAGAGGCCCATGTCTAGCAATGGACATTTACAGGTTGATGAGATAAACACATCAAATACACTTCTGACGAAGATAGTCTTTAAGAACCAATTTATCGCCTGTTTCTTGAATGTATGAATTATAGTAACATTTTTGAAAAAAATAATTTTAGTTCAGTTGTTAAGTTTTTTTACAAGTAGTCGCTTGAGATCTGACGCTGGAGTTGGCTTATTAACACTTATATCAATAGCAATGACCTATATGTAGTGCACGGGACAGCGAAAGGGCTTAACATATTTTTGTGCATGGGAGAATTCAGAGGATACTTTGGGTATATTTTGTAACCTTTCCAAAGCCTCCGACTATGTTCACCATGAGACATTAATCAGGAAGCTACACTACTATGGTGTCAATAACACAGCGTTTAAACTTATTATTTCATAGTTAAGTAATAGAACGCATAAAGTTATTATCAATGGTAAAAGTTCTTCCGGGTCACCTGTACTAATGAGTGTCCCTCAAGGCTCATTTCTCGGCCCGTTCCTATTTTTAGTGTATATTAATGACTTACCTTCCCTTATAGTCATGATATAATATTATTTGCTGATGATACTTCGTTGATTTTTAAACTTAAACGTCAATCATGTAAATGTGACGAAGTGAATAATATTATATCAAAATTAGTGCATTGGTTTAACGTTAATAGTCTACATTTAAACTGAAAGAATACATTTATTAACATAACATAATATACAATATTTTATTATACAGGGTCATTTTTAATTTACTAAAGACCTTTTGGGAATATATTGGCTACATCATTACAAACAATTTTAGCGAGATCACTCTTCACAGAATATAATACGTTTACGTAAAAACTACTTTTAAGGCTTTTTTGTCATGTCTGACTCCTTTTAAGTCTGTATTTTGTAGTACCTAAACAATGTCAGAATAAATCGTCAAAGAAAATACTTGATATCAGTATCAAACATTGTGTTGAAATCATTAAACATAATTAAATGAGCAAATGACACTCAAAAAAAAATCACAAATATTAAAATTTATAATAAGTAAGCATGACCGCCGGGCCGGTCGACGCCCGCGCTCAGCTGATTACGTTGCGAGTGCCTACTAAACCATTCATCACTGTGGCTATTGCACCATGGCGCCACTTTAAATGACTTTACATTAACTTTTCATATACTTCTTTATTTTGCATAAAACCATTTGATGAACTATTTGATTCTTTTATTAATTTATTTAAGAATGAGGCAGTGGAGATGCGATCTCTGCGTAAAATGTGCGGCGTTACCATGGCCGACCGAAAGCGAAACGAAGAGATTCGCAATATGGCAGGTTTGAAAGATGACCTTGTCACAAAAATTAATAAGGGCGTGCTTCGATGGTTTGGGCACGTTGAGCGAATTTTTTTTTTTATAGGAGAGGGGGCAAACGAGCATGCGGCTCACCTGATGGTAAGTGACTACCGCCGCCCATGAACAACTGCAACACCAGGGGAATCGCAGATGCGTTGCCGGCCTTTTAAAAAGGAGTACGCTCTTTTCTTGAAGGTCCCTAAGTCGTATCGGTCCGGAAAAATCGCTGATGGTAATCGATTCCACAAGGAGGTCGTGCGAGGAAGAAAACGAGTGAGTTGAAAAAGAATGAGTGAAGACCGAATGGTGAAGAAAATATATAGCGCGAAAGTAAATATTAAAAGGTGTCGAGGTAGACCGAGACTAACTTTCGAAGATCATGAGAGCAAATTGCTCGAAGAGGGGAGAGTCAAGAGTACTCGGATTCCTAGACGTGCATGTATGAAGAAGATAATGAATCTGAAAGAAGCGAAAGAGGTATGTAAGGATCGTGACACTTGGCGATCTGTTCTCTCTGGCTACCCCGTCAGGGATTGTGCGTGAAGATAAGTATAAGTATTAAGAATTAATAGACATTCTTTAATAGACATTTAGGTAGTTTTTTTACGAATACTGTTTGCTAGCAACGCTGCCTGCATCCAAGAGGCAACGTCGCACATGCGGCGGCCCAAGGCCAAGCCAAAGGTATATTATGACGTCGACACAGGTGTCATCGTCATCAAAGGCGCCGCCTGCCCTTTTCGGTTTGCAGCCATCGATTTGGTGATCAATGTTTGTAGCACGTGCAAATTAAATGAGTATTATTAACAATTATTTTTATTTAATGTAAGTTGTATTTAAAAAATGGATGCAGGTTAAAATAATTACAAATATTACAATAAAATATTTATAATGATTAAATACAAATTAACAGTAATTGAATAAAGATATTAAGGTATTGCCATGCCGTGTAGTGGCGGTCAAGAATATCCACTACCCCATATCCTCCCGTGGGTGTCGTAAAAGGCGACAAAGGGAAACAGGCAGGAGATGGGTAGCAGCATCTTCCTGATAATAGATAAATTACAATAAAAAAACTGCGGTTGCCAACCCGCTCGCCAAGCGTGGCAACTATGGCAAATACCCCCCTATGAATGACAGTGAGACGTGGTCTTTCACTGCTGGTCGTATGAGGAAGCTCAAGGTCGCTCAGCGAGCTATGGAGAGGGCTATGCTCGGAGTTTCTCTGCGTGATAAACTTAGGAATGAGGATATCCGCAGTAGAACCAGAGTGACCGACATAGCCCAACGGATTAGTAAGCTGAAGTGGCAGTGGGCCGGTCATATAGCTCGAAGAACCGACAACCGATGGGGAAGAAAGGTTCTCGAGTGGCAGCCTCGTACCGGTAGGCGAAGTGTAGGGCGTCCCCCCACGAGATGGAGTGACGACCTGGTAAGACATGCAGGAAGTCGATGGATGCAGGTGGCTCAGGACCGTGCTTTGTGGCATTCTTTGGGGGAGGCCTATGTTCAGCAGTGGACTTGTGAAGGGCTGTAATGATGATGATGATGATTAAGGTATTATGGTTCAATAAAAATATTAAAATACAAATTTAAAAATTAGACATCCCTAGGTACTTGTCCGCGGATGGCGGTGAGTATCGCGCACATAGCGTTCAAAATAATCACCTCCATATTCTATGCATAGGTGATAGGTACCTAAAACTTAACTGTTCACCGACACGAGATAATACTTGATGATTCATTTTGATTTGATCGAATGCCCAAATTATTTTTTTCTTTCAACATGTCGCGGGTTTCAAATGCGCGACCAGTATACACTAATATCTTCACATGCCTCCACAAATAAAAATCCATTGGTGTGATATCTGGCGATCTGGGAGGCCATGCACAAGGCCCGTCACGACCGACCCAGCGACCAGGGTATTCTCTGTTTAAATAATCCTTAACTTGGCGAGCACAGTGCGCCGGCGCCCCGTCATGTTGGTAATACATATTGCGTAGATGCAAGTGGTATGTCCTCTAACAACTCTGGCAGCGTGTCGGTGAGAAAACTATGATAGCTTTCACCGTTTAATCTTTCTATGAAGACCGGGCCCAGTAACGTTGTATTAATAACGCCTTCCCACACATTGACACTAAACCGGTGTTGAAAGCTATGCGGTCTTGGTTCATGTGGATTTTCATAGCACCACAAGTGTTCACTGTGCGAATTAAATAGTCCTATTCTGCCAAATGTTGCTTCATCAGTCCATAAAATGTTAGCTCGTTCAGCAGCTAGTAACCAGTTACAAAATGTAACTCGCGCTGGTTAGTCAGCTTCGCTGAGTTCATGAACACGATGCAAGTGGAAAGGGTACTTCCCTTCATTGTGTATGACACTCCATGCGTAGTAATGTGACACATTGAATTGTCGGGCTGCCTCATAAGTCCTCGGTGCTGGATTTTGTTCAAAAAACTGCAGTATGTCTTTCTCCTCACGTACCGTGCGTCGCGGTGGACGACCACGATCGATTGATACAGGCTGGAATTGCCCGTAATCTCGCAATCGCTGTGTAGTACCTAGCATCGTAGCGTAGCTCGGTGCACGTGAGTTGGGAAATCGCCTTGAATATTCACGACAGGCTTCACTAAAGTTATCATTGCAAATTGCTAAAATTCGCAGCATTACGGTATACTCAACATTTGAGTATCGGTAAGCCATTGTAACAACGCGTAACGTTCGTGATATTAATCTCACAACGGAAGGAGAAACGTCGCGGGCGCGCCAAAGGCGACTGACGACACAGGGAATTAGGTCAAGTTCAAATGAGCAAGCGCCGCATCCTACACTCCTCCACCCCTACCCCGCCACGCGCTTTATTTTGCTATTTAGGACTATTGCCGTTTAGAAGGTCCAATCAAAATATTTTTATTTTTGTATGAAAATAAAAATTGAAGAAATATAATTTTTTTTCTTACAGATGTTGTTGTTATGATGTAAATAATATTATTCCCAAAAGGTCTTCAGTAAATTAAAAATTACCCTGTATACAATATTAAAAAACTATAATAAAAAAAAAAACTAGAAACTAATAACTTAATTATTATAAGGTCCAACTCCCCGTGGTATCGTGCCAAGAACGCTGGCTGCGTTTCTTCGTTGAATGGCTATACTTAGCCTTTGAGCGAGAAAAGAACCATCCCTCTTATCACCAGCAGCAACGATCAGTCACGGGTAGAGTCCCTTTAGGAACTTCACCACACGTGGACTCCACGGACCGATAGTCTCTATAGAAAATGGCACGAATATGTAGTCATATCTCAGAGACTCATATTTGCGCCACTTTTCTGTTCAGCTGCCTCTGATGCCGCCGCGGCTCTAAACGAGGTACCGCTGAGATGAGAGGCCACCAAAGTGTCTATGCAAGTAGCATCCAACACTAGGGCTTTACCTCTCTCCCAAGGGACTAATGTCATACCGTCGGGTCTCCTGCCATCATCTCTAAATATTCTACGAGTCTCTAAAACCGGGGGAACAGTTATAGAGACAAGAGCCCTTCGAATGACATTGTTCAAATAACCGTGCCGTAAAAACCTACCAGCACTTTTTTCACATGAAAGTCTGTGGAGCTCAAATTCGTAACCGTTGCTACCACAGGGGCACTGATGGGGTTGACAAATCACCGCTCCTAGTCGGATTCCTACGGCGATGCGCAAGCTTTCCCCATCAAGTAATATGCCGAGATTATTTGATGGTAAAGTGTGTAACTAGAGACTAAATTCCTTAGTCGAAACAGCTAGAAGGCGTGCGAGGAACCATATCAAACGGAAATAAAACTAAATATTAAATTTACAACATCGAATGTTAAAAATCTGAATACCAATGTGTTTTTAAATGGTTAAGAACTGAGCCTTGTTGAATCCACTGTTTTCCTTGGCATCACTCTCGACGCTAAGCTTCAGTGGGGCCGCCATAACCAAACTAGCAAGCGGACTAAGTACTGCAGCTTATGCTGTAAAAAAGATTAGAAGTATCACTAGTGTCGAGACAGCTAGATAACTAGATTAGTTTAGTTCAGTTATTTCCATAGCATAATGTCTTATGGCATTTTACTATGGAGAAATGCGTCTGATTTAGAAACTGTTTTTGTTTTACAGAAGAGGGCCATTAGAGCTATTTACAACCTAAAACCGAGAGAAAATTTAAAGAATTAAATATATTAACTTTGGCCTCTCTGTATATTTACGAAAATTTAGTGTATGTTCACAAAAACAAAGGTAGGTAGTTTTAGTAAAAAAAAAGTGATATACACTCTGAAAACACTAGGAACAAACACAAGCTATTGATATTAGTTTCTCGACTCCAGAGCCAGTAATTCATTCTTGGGACAATGTATACGCTATTACAACAAAGTCCCAGAAAATATACAAGGTCACTCTATTACCAAGTTTAAATATTTTATTGAATAAACTGTATAAAATGGGCTATTATAATATAAATGAATACATTGTTAACCCGTGGGAATGAGGTGGTCGCTTCCAAGCTGTTTCTAAAATAAATTTTGTAAATAGTTTGTACAACCATTCATGTAAAATTTACTTAAAAAATAGTCCCGCTGGGTTTCTTGCTGGTACTTCCCAGGACAGAGGTTTTTTTCGAACCAGTGGTAATGTAAAAAATGAGTTTCAATAAGAATTACACATGTGATCTATATTGAGTAAATAAATATTCTTTTCTATTCTATTCTATAGTGTATATATTTTATAGAGTTCAAGTTAAAGAAGATGTGGCTGAGTCCAAATGGAACGATCCGTAACATTCTCGGCGGTACAGTTTTCCGGGAGCCGATTTTATGCAAGAGCATTCCCCGATTGGTGTCAGGCTGGACCAAACCCATGGTCATCGGGCGTCACGCTCACGGCGATCAGTACAAAGCGCAAGATTTCGTGGTATCGAAACCAGGGAAGGTAATTTTTTTCGTATATATGTTAAATCAATAATTTTTTGCCTTTGACCTTTTTTACAAAAACGTACCTCCACACTAGGATTTTTTCCTGTATCGTGGGGGCAGTTTACATACATAAATTCCATAAGGACAAACATCCAGACCCGGAACAAATATTTGGAAGCTATACAAATACTTGTTCCGAGCGGGATTAAAACCCCTGGCCCTCAATGCTGCAACTCATTGCAGAGCCTTTGGGTGACGGAGCCGTCAAATTATCTTATTTATATCAATAAGCATCTACAAGTAGTAAGTCGAACTCGGTAGTAGTTATTATGAAAAATTGTATCTACGACTTAGGGAAAATCTATACAGGAGTTTCAGCTTTTTTTTGTAGTATATCAAGCCATGCTTATCAGCACATCGCCCAATAATTCCCTTAAACCTCCAATCGGAGGGTTTAGCAGCGTCATGTTGTCAGCTAATGATAATAAAATTAAATAATAATAAACTCTGAATGTTATTATTATTTTTAGGAGTATTTACGAATAAAACTATTAAAATATTAGCCGTGATTGAGACCTGAAGCTAACATCTAAATAAATTTAATTAAAAAATCTACGGGAGATGATGGTCTGATGACTGGAGGTGAATACAATCATTTCCTCGTAAAAGCGAATAAATTGGAAATTTTATAAAAACCGTTAATGCATCAAATTTCTAGAAAGTAATTTTAAATTAATAAAATATTTACGTATTATGTAATTTTATGAATTTTAGGTTGTTATATATTTTTTTAAACGATATCTTTATTCAGGTTGAGTTAGTGTACACTACAAATGATGGAACAACAGAGAGACATTTACTGTATGACTTCAAATCTTCCGGCGTAGCAATGGGCATGTACAACACTGATGAATCAATAAAAGCTTTTGCTCATTCTAGTTTTCAGGTAAGTTAAATAAACCTTTATTTTATGAGTATAAAAATATTGACTAACAATTTATCGTTCAAATTAACACTATTGTAAGGAAACTCAAACTTCGATACCTATACGAGTATCTATATATTTATTACAATTAATTCGTTAACTTTTTTTTGTCTGTTTGTCCGCGGGTTGTGCACTCTAACACCTACACAATGACTGATCCGATTTGGATGTGGTTTTCATTGATTAATTAAGATAAACTTAGACTAAAATAAAGTGCTTGTTTTATATAAATCAGGTGACAACAATTAAGATATATCAATTTTAAAGTAAATGTGAGGAAGTTAAGTGCAACCCGAACACGCTCAACAAGTCAGAAGCTTAAGTGCTGCTCGGCTGCTGTGTGTGTGTGTGTTGCGAGCTGGAGATACGTGATACCTAATATAATATTAGGTATCACTATATATATAAATAAGAAGAAGTAGAATACTATGTCGATATTGTCTGTCAGTTTTAGTGATTTTTATAAGTAAATTTTATTTTTTCTAATTTTAAAAATAGGAAGATGAAGTTGATCATGTCTTTTTTATAACAAAAGAACACTAAATAAATATAATCTTTATCATTAGTTTTAGTGATCGTGTATTTTCTGAACGACTTTCCCCATTAAGTTTATATTCACTCAATATAAGTATTTACTTTTATTTTGCCGAGATTATGATTCGTTGCTATTAGCTACGCCAGGATCTGAGTGGGGGTGTTATAATCAAATTATTAATAAATGCAATAATTAAGACCCAAAGTGACTCTAATTCACAATAAAAAGCTTGGAGTGAATTGAGAGTGAAACTCATCGCGCTACTTAGCGGAAAATGCAGAACATCGTCGGTCGGGCAAGCTAGCAAACATATTATGAAAAATTAGTTTGAATTTGCCTAGATAACAGTGCGTATGAAATTGCGGACACGACTAGGTAAATCACACGTTTCAGCACTCTATTCCTACAGACAAGCGACTATAACTTAATTTCTTACTAGATTTGAAAAAATAAAAAGTACTCTTCTTCATTTTAAATATATAATATTCTATGTACATTAAATAAAAGTGTGTGTTTGTATTAAATATGCAGCTTCAAAACATTTTCGCCTGTCTTTCTGCACAAACGGATTTCACAAGAAAATTATTACATTTTTTGTTTCAGTGTAATATTTGTGTAGTACCCTGGAAATAAAAACTGTAGTATTTTGTTTCATTGTAATATTTTCAATGTAATGTTCCTAAGGATTAAACAGTAATTTTATGTCATGCTTTGACGCCAACGAAGGCGCGGACACAGATAGTTTTTTATAAATGTTATGGTCTATATCGTAATGAATAAAAATTTCATCTTTTATACTTAAATACCTACAGAAATATGACATTCAGCAATACATTTTTGTTTTAACAGGTGGCTTTACAAAAGAAATGGCCGCTGTATCTTTCCACAAAGAATACTATCCTGAAACGATATGATGGTCGTTTCAAAGACATATTCGAAGAAATTTATGAGAGGTAAACACTTGTCTCAATAGTAAATATTTTTATAATGAGTAAAGTTGAATACGGTGATTTTATTTAGTAAAGATGATATATACCTACCCTAAGTGATGCTAAGCTAAACAATAATTTTGTCAACCATCCACTTGCAGCAATATTATGGTTATAGCACGAATGGGTTGGCTCGTCGACCAGGGAAGAACCGCGCTCTCACAGAATACCAGCGTAAAATAGCAGCTCAATGCTGCTGTGTTTCGTATGGTGACTGTAGAGAAACGGAGATCCTTTTTTGCCGACTTCAAAAATGAGACGGTACTCAATTCGACTGTATGTTTTTTTACGTGTGTTACCTCATAACTTTTTATTGGTTGAACCGATTTCGATGATTCTTTTTTTATTTGAAAGCTAGTACTTCACATGTGATATGAATTTGATCAAGGTCAAACCAATCGTTTATGAGTTATTCTTAATAATTTATATTGAAGTCGGCTGTAAAAAAAATTAATTTTAAATTATTACTGGAAACCAGACAGCGCATAGCTGGATTTTGGATTTTCAATCGAGAAAAGTTGTAGATGTTATGGGCCACAGCATCCATTTGCAATCAGGTTGACTGCGTAATCGTTTGTTACCTACTTCTGTGAAAAAGTCTTATCATTATCCCCAAAGGGGTACGGTGGAAAGTTTTCTTGAGCTCTATAAAGTTAGCAGTGAAAAGTCAGCAGAAACCTTAAAATTGAATCTAGGAATTTGTAGCTAATTTGTTGCTAATTAGTTGCCAAAATCGCGATTTTGTTGCTCCGACCGGTTTTGAGAAAATTGATTTACTGCTAACTTTACATTAAGATAGCAGTAAAATCTTTCAATCAACCCCGCTGTAGCGGATAAAACGGGATAATTTGTTGCTAATTAGTTGCTGAAATAAAATTCAAAAAATATTTAAAAAGCAAAAATTAAAAAAAAATATATATAAAAAAATCAAAAATTAAAAAGAATTACTAAAAATCAAGTTATGTTTTATTACTAGTTCTGAAGTTCCAAATTTATGAAAATTTTGCTGCTGAATAATAAATAGATCAATAACTCCCAGACAGCCTACAACAACATAAAATCGATCCATAAGCTGTATCAAGTAATAAATTACAAATAAATGTGTACATGCTGCCTATACGAGAGATTTAATACAGATAACACAAAGAGCCAGGAACAAAATTAAATCAATCGATGAGCTGAACAAGTAACTAGTTTGTAATTATTTGTGTACATGCTATATCATGAAAATTTTAGAAAAAAATATAGAACATATTTTTTGCTGGTCAGTAACGGAAGCCGTAAGTCACAAATGGCCAAGAACAAAGTAATATCGATCAATAAGCTGCACAAGGTAATTAGTTAACAATTATTTGTATACAAGCTATATCATGAAAATATTAGAAAAAAAGATAGCAGTTATTTTGTTGCTGGTCATTAACTGAAGTAGCAACTCATAAAGAGCCAACAACAAAATAAAATCAATCGATAAACTGCACCAAGTAATAAGTTAGTAATTATTTGTGTACATGCTACCTTTACATGAAAATTTTAGGAAAAAAAGTGAGCAGAATTTTTGTTGCTGGTCAGCAACGAAAGCAGTAAGTCATAAAGAGCCAGCAGCAAAATAAAATCAATCAATAAGCTCCAACACGTTATTAGTAATTAATTATTTGTGAACATGCTATATTTTTATGAAAATATTACGAAAAAAGATGCATAAATTTTTCGCTGATCAGCAATGAAAGCAGCAAGTCATAAACAGCCAGGAACAAAATAAAATAGATCGATAAGCTGCACCACGTGATTAGTAAGTAAATAATAAGAAAAAACGTAGCAGATATTTTGTTGCTGGTCAGCAACGAAAGCAGCAAGTCCTAAAGAGCCAGTAACAAAATAAAATCAATCGACAAGCTGCACCACGTTATTAGTTAGTAATAATTTGTGTACATGCTATATTTTTAGGAAAATTGTAGAAAAAAAATAGCAACTATTTTGTTGCTGGTCAGCAATGGAAGCAGCAAGTCGAAAAAATCAGCAACAAAATAACATAGATCGATAAGCGACACCAAGTAGTAAGTTAATAATTATTTGTGTACATGCTATATTTACAAGAAAATTTTAGGAAAAAAAGTGAGCAGAATTTTTGTTGCTGGTCAGCAACGAAAGCAGCAAGTCATAAAGAGCCAGCAACAAAATAAAGTCAATCAATAAGCTGCACCAAGTAACAAGTTAGTAATTATTTGTGTACATGCTATATTGACATGAAAATTTTAGGAAAAAAATTTAGCAGAATTTTTGTTGCTGGTCAGTAACGAAAGAAGAAACTCATAAAGAGCCAGCAACAAAATAAAATAGATCGATAAGCTGTACCACGTTATAAGCAAGTGATTATTTATTTACATGCTATATTTTTAGGAAAAATTTTTCAGAAATTTTTTGTCAGCAATGAAAGAAGCAAGTTATAAAGAGCCAGGAACAAAATAACATAGATCGATAATCTGCACCAAGTAATTAGTTAATAAGTATTTGTGTACATGCTAAATTTTTATGTAAATTTTAGGAAAAAATATAGCAGATATTTTGTTGCTGGCCAGCAATGAAAGCAGTAAGTCATAAAGAGCCAGCAGCAAAATGAAATAGTTCGATAAGCTCCACCAAGTAATAAGTTAATAATTATTTGTGCATATGCTATGTTTACATGAAAATTGCAGGAAAAAAAATAGCAGATATTTTGTAACTGTTCAGCAACGGTAGCAACAACTCATAAAGAGCCAGCAACAAAATAAAATATATCGAAAAGCTGCACCCCGAAATTAGTAATTAATTATTTGTGATCATGCTATATTTTTATGTAAATTTTAGAAAAAATTTTGCAGATATTTTTTTTCAGCAATGAAAGAAGCAAGTCATAAAGAGCCAGGCACAAAAGAACATAGATCGATAAGCTGCACCAAGTAATAAGTTAGTAATTATTTGTGTACATACTATATTTTTATGAAAATTGTAGGGAAAAATATAGCAGATATTTTGTTGCTCGTTATCAATGGAAGCAGCGGGCTATAAATAGTCAGCATCAAAATAAAATAGATCGATAAGCTACACCAAGTAATAAGTAAGTAACTATTGTGAACATGCTATATTTACATGAAAATTTTAGGAAAAAAAGTTAGCAGAATTTTTGTTGCTGGTCAGTAACGAAAGAAGCAAGTCATAAAGAGCCAGCAACAAAATAAAATCAATCGATAAGCTGCACCACGTTATTAGTAAGTAATTATTTGTGTAAATGCTATATTTTTAGAAAAATTGTAGGAAAAAACGTAGCAGATATTTTGTTGGTGGTCAGTAACGGAAGCAGCAACTCATAAAGCGCCAGCAACAAAATAAAAAGATCGGGAATCTGCTTCAAGTAATTAATTAATAATTATTTGTTTACAAGCTATATTTCCATGAAACTTTTAGAAAAAAATATAGCAGATATTTTGTTGCTGGTATGTTATAGAAGCAGCAAGTCATACAGTACAAGTCACAAATAGAGTATATTTTAAATTAAATAGGAACTTTAAGCTTACATATTTACTAATTCTTATAAAGAATTGCATATGTAATATATGCAACTAGTAATCATAAACATAAACATTGAGTTGCCTTTTTTAATTCATATTTTACGTAAGTTGTGCAAAATAACGGTTTATAAAAAAATGTTTTTACATAGATTTACCTTTTCTCTACAAGAAAGGCCAAGAATCTGGTATTGTTCTTTTTGCTTAAGCAATTCAACAAATGCAAAAAATGACATTCCAGAATAACTAATTGAACTTTGCCCCACCTAAACATGAGGGGTAAATGAATGCCGTATATATTATTGTTTGCCGCTTTATTACGAGTACATAATCCATATAATGTTAGTAAAAGTTTCTTGAACTTGAGTTACCTTCTATTTAATAAAATAATTCTTTGCAGTTCATTCTAATTTGCAACATATGAAAATCCAAGCGCTAACAAAATATGTAAATAAGGATTTGAGGAGTGGAAATAAAATTCTAAACCAATGTCAAAATATCCTATAAATATAGCATGTATACACATGTGGTGAAGTAAATCGATCTATTTTTTGTTACTGGCTCTTAATGACTTGCTGCTTATACAACTGACCAAAAACAAAATATCTGAAGTTTTTATTTTTCTTTAAATCTCCTGTAAATGTATTTGCTGCCTTATACAATATGTGACAAAAACCCTGTGGTTCCCGTTAAGTACGTTATCAGGATCATTATTCAAACCTATGGAAATAACATTTTTTAAAAAACTCGAACAATATTTTATTTACTTTATTAAAAAATAATAATTGTATGCAAATTGTATATAGTTGTATTACCTCTGCATTGTCTAGGGGAAAAGAGGATTGTCAAAGGCCCCGCTTTACTTAGCTTTAGCATCGACTAGTGTCAGTAAGAGGTAATAAAACCACCAAAAAAGGTTTAGGTTTGAATACTGAACCTGATAACGTAATTAACGGGAACAACAGGGTTTTTGTTACATGTTGTATATATTGCTATCTTTTTTCAATAAATTCCATGTAAATATAGCGTATACACAAATAATTATTTACTCATTACTTGGTGAAGCTTATCGATCTATTTTATTTTGCTGCTGGCTCTTTATTACATGCCGCCTTTTTTTAAGGTCAACAACAAAATATCTGCTATATTTTTACTGAAATTTTCATGTAAATAAAGCATGTACACAAATAATTACTAACAAATAACGTGGTGCAGCTTATCGATTTATTTTATTTTGTTCCTAGCTCTAAATGACTTGCTGCTTTCATTGCTGAACAGCAAAAAATATCGGCTATCTTTTTTTCCTAAAATTTTCATAAAAATATAGCATGTACACAAATAATAAATTACTTATAACGTAGTACAGCTTGTCGATTGATTTTATTTTGTTACTGGCTCTTTATGACTTGCTGCTTTCGTTGCTGACCAGCAACAAAAAGTCTGCTAACTTTTTTTCCTAAAATTTTGATGTAAATATTGCATGTACACAAATAATTACTAACTTATTACTTTGTGTAGCTTATCGATCTATGTTACTTTGTTGCTGACTTTTTTCGACTTGCTGCTTCCAGTGGTGACCAGCAACAAAATAGTTGCTATTTTTTTTCTACAATTTTCCTAAAAATATAGCATGTACACAAATTATAACTAACTAATAACGTGGTGCAGCTTATCGATTGATTTTATTTTGTTGTTGGCGCTTTATAAGTTGCTGCTTCCGTTACTGACCAGCAACAAAATATCTGCTATCTTTTTTCCCAATATTTTCATTATATAGCTTATACAAAAATAATTATTAACTAATTACTTGGTGCAGCTTATTTATCGATATTGCTATGTTCCTGGCTATTTGTGACTTACATCTTCAGTAACTGAACAGCAACAAAATATCTGCTATATTTTTTCCTAAAATTTTCATGTAAATATGGCATGTACACAAATAATTACTAACTTATTACTTGGTGCAGCTTATCGATCTATTTTATTTTATTCCTGGCTGTTTATGACTTGCTACTTTCATTGCTGACCAGCAAAAAATATCTGCTATCTTTTTTCTAAAAATTTTAATAATAATATAGCATGTACACAAATAATTACTAACTTATTACTTGGTGCAGCTTATTTATTGACTTTATTTTGTTACTGGCTCTTTATGTTATCTGTATTAAATCTCCCGTATAGGCAGCATGTACACATTTATTTGTAACTTATTACTTGATACAGCTTATCGACTGATTTTATGTTGCTGTAGGCTGTCTGGGAGTTATTGATCTATTTATTATTCAGCAGCAAAATTTAAACATAACTTGATTTTTGTATTTTTTTTTAATTTTTAATTTTTTAAATATTTTTTTGCATTATATTTCAGCAACTAATTAGCAACAAATTATCCCGTTTTATCCGCTACGAAGGGGTTGATTGAAAGATTTTACTGCTATCATCTTAATGTAAAGTTAGCAGTAAATCAATTTTCTCAAAACCGGTCGGAGCAACAAAATCGCGATTTTGGCAACTAATTAGCAACAAATTAGCTACAAATTCCTAGATACAATTATAAAGTTTCTGCTAACTTTTCACTGCTAATTTTATAGAGCTGTTTTCTTGCCCTTTATGAATTTTGGGTTCCTATTATTTTTTCAATAATGCAGTATCATGTCCATGTTAGGTATACGTTGGTAATGTGGAAAACGTGTTACTTCCATAGACATGTCATTATCAATCCACAACCCACACAAATACTCAAGAGTAAGGACTGAAGCATTGAGTTTCGAATAACTGTACAGGATTAAGTAGCTTACCCTTACCACAGATTAAATTATGTAACCCCTAAGGCAAATAGCATGTAGTTACCACACAGTACTACTACTGTACTACCAGTACCTATCAGGTAACATAGAAACATAGGTAATCCTTTATTCTTGTAAAAGACTCTATAACAGCTGATATAGTCGTAAGAATATACAAATTGGCAATCAGTTAATTATTGAGGTTATGCAAACAGATAAGAAGTTAGTATTATTATTATTTCAGTGAAATCATTTATTTACATAACATTCAAATAAACAATATTTATGACCGTAATAAAAAAAACTAAAACTAAAAAATTAAATTATCGTACAGGCCTACTATATTATAGTGTCAATAGTCTCGGAGTATAGCGCCAAGAACGCTGGCTGCGTTTTGCTCTTTGAATGCCCTTTGAGCAAGAAAAGAACCCTCTTATCACCAGCAACGGCGTCAAGTCGCAGATATTCCTTTAGGAATTTTACCGCATCATATACAGCAAATTGCACAAATATATAGTCATCTCTCAGAGACTCCTATTTGCACCACTTACTTTGTTCAGCCACTAGTACCGCCCTGGCTCTAAACGAGGTATTCGTTAGATGAGAGGCTGTCAAACTTTACAATATTTACTTAATATGCAGTACATACAAGAAGCAGTTTGAGGACGCTAAGATTTGGTACGAGCATCGGCTGATTGATGACATGGTAGCGCAAGCGATCAAGAGCTCCGGTGGGTTCGTGTGGGCCTGTAAGAATTACGATGGAGACGTGCAGTCCGACGTAGTGGCACAGGTATACTTTTCACTGCGGCAAGTTTTCATAATATTGCTCTTAAAATCGTTATTCCAATATTCGATCTTTTACAAGGGCAATCAATACAATCACATACTTTCAATCTTATCTTGAGCAATATAATCAATACCGCCGTATCGGGATCTACAAAATTTGGAATTATCGCAAGGCTACTATTCAGGAAGCACAGAACTTGGGCCTCTCCCATAGATTGCTTCATAGGGGTGATATGCCATAATTGCCACGCTAGGTAGGCAAGACGCAACCGCAGTTTTTTATTATTTTGAACTGTTATCAAGAAGATGCTGCTGCCCATCTCCTGTTTGTTTCCTTCTGACGCTTCTTATTACCCCCGAATAAAAGGTTTTCTAATACCGCCACTACTCGGCTTATAGGAAAGAAGCACCACATTCATTAACAGGACGTCTTAGGTTTCTTCGAAATTACATTCAATTTTACAGTTGCAAGAACATCAATAGATTATAATTTGATTATTTGATATATTGATGTTAAGTTTTTTCTACTATCAGTAATATCATTTACTAGCGGCAAATTTTTCAACCATCAGATAAAAGTTATTTAAGGGATAAATTACATCACAGACAAATTAAATATTACATTTGTACTCATGTGATGGAAATAGTTCAATTGTTTCACTTTAATATTCAGTCAAGTATTTTTAATACATAGTTCGAACTACGGAACGTTGGCTTTATTTGAGATTAGAACGGCCTATCAAAAGTCCACTGCTGAACATAGATGTCCCCCATAGATTGCCTCATAGGCGGAATATTTGCCATTGTTGCCACTCTTGGCAAGCGGATTGTCGAACGGCGTTTTTTTTTTCGTTGTTATTAGGAAGACGCTGCTGACGATCTCCTGGATTAATCCCCTTTGATCCTTCTTACGATAACCACGGGACGATATGGGGTAATGGATGTTCTTACACCGCCTCTACATAGTTAATCGAATCCATAAATAAAATGAAGCCATCGCGCAGTTTATATTAATTTATATCTAATCCATAAATAAAATATAAACTATGTACACGATGGCGACATTTCCTATTAGAGCTATAATTTAAATAAAATGTAGGGCTACGGTTCGCTGGGAATGATGACATCGGTGCTGATGTGCCCGGACGGGCGCACGGTGGAGTCGGAGGCGGCACACGGCACCGTGACGCGACACTACCGCATGCACCAGCAGGGCAAGCCCACCTCCACCAACCCCGTCGCCTCCATCTACGCTTGGACTCGCGGCCTCATACACCGCGCCAAGCTCGACGGCACCCCCGACCTTGAGCGCTTCGCTCTGGCTCTTGAGGAAGTAAGTTTCAATTTAAACTGACAGACCGCCTATATTTAGTTTAGTTTCTTTAATAGAATACCTCCTGGTTTACCTGATGGTAAGTGGATGCGGATGTTCGATTAAGAATCAAAATGCAAATGCGTTGTTACCCCTGATAACTAAGATAGAATGCCTCGTTTCCACTTCGCACTCACCATACGAAACACAGTAGCATTAATCAAGCTACTATTTCATGCTGGTATTCTGCGAGAGCATTCTGTGAGAGTGTAGTTAAGTTGAATACATACTATATAAGTTTGTAAGTGTAGAGCTACGCTGTAGCTATAGTCGTATTTTTAATTAGACGAAGTCAACTGACGTTTACTGTGTTGTCAGTTTTTGATGAAATAAAAATAGTGTTGTGACAAAGTGAATGATTGAAAAACTCCTGAATTAATGAAATTGCCTCGATTGTCTAGTGAATAGTTAGTGTGCTGAACTGCCGATATCGGGTACGGGGTTCGAATTTTAGTCGTGCTTTGTACATACCAACGAGTTTTCGACGACTATGTTCCTATAATATCTACCTATACTGAATACCGAGTGTTTTAAACATTAAGGAAAATATTGCGAGGAAACTTGTAAGACTGTCCTATTTTCAATACATCATGTAGTTGAAACTATAGATGTATAAAATATAACAATTATAGGTAGGTAATGAGAATAAAAAAAATCGCTTATTACATAATTTGTTTTTATTCATTATCAGATAAAAAATCATCACTATCGCTTTCGGTGACATTAATTAAAAATCTGTCAGTAACATTGTCAATCATGTGGTCGAGACCATACATTTTGTCTTCTTTTTTAATTATATGAGACACGCAGCTATTCCATTTTTCAGGTGTGATATGTTGAAGTCCTTCTTCAAAAAGTTTTTTTACTTCTGTCATTTTGAAGGTTTTGTTATTTCTTGCAACATATCCTTTAGCCTGCGCCCATACCAACTCAATGGGATTGAGCTCACAGTGGTATGGGGGCAGACGTAAAACAATTATCCCATGCTGCGCTGCCATCTCGTCCACAACATACTTATCGCAATGTTCTTGCTTGTGCTGCCGTACAATGTCTATAAGAGTAGCTTTAACCATTGTTGCTTCGAATGAAATATTTTTGCTCGTTAGCCACTCTAGTATTCTAGGTTTAGTCCAAGACATTTTAGGCAGCGATTCTAGTTTCCTGGAGTGGTAGGGGGCATTATCCATCACTACTACGGAATTTGGTTTTAGTTTTGGCAAGACCCCCCTAAACCACTTCTCAAAGGAATCGGCATTCATCTCTTGATGATAATCTTCTTTATTTTTTTTGGCTTCAAATATTAATAAGCTGTCTTCTACGAATCCTTCTTCCCCGCCTATATGGCCGATAATTAATCGTTTGCCCTTTCCTGAAGGCTGTTTTAAGCCAGTGGTCAAGCCATCTAGGAAGGCCTGGCGGGACGATAACACTGTCTGGTCAATCCATGCCTTCTTCGGTGCATGACCTTCAAGATAGTGAAAAATATCAATTAATTATTGAAAGTACAATTTAATGTAAAGAAAACAGAAAATTGTAATTACCTTCGTTGATCCAGGTTTCATCTTGGTAATAAATATACCTTCCTTCCCTTCGATACTCTTTAATTTTTCGAAGGTATCGCTGGCGCCATAGAATAATGTCCTGTCTGTCAATTAAAACGGCTTGACGTGCTTGGTTGAGGATCCATATCATTTGTACGAAACAATATAGCAACAAATAAACACAACAATTACCACAAACACAACGTAACGAAAAACTTAACAAAAACAATAACTAAACAGCGTGAGCGCAGAAAAAACATTCGTGCTATCAGACCAGAGGTTAGAAGCCGAATAACAAACAAAATGGCGACCGACGCGCGCGGCGTTGATCGGTGTTGGCAGTAGTCGCCGCGCCGCGCTTTGTAATAAAACCTCAAAAAACTGATTGTAGTTACATACTCCTAGTAACTTATATCAGAGCACTTTTATACAATTTTATTGTAAAATAGAAATAATATTCTTTTATAGTTTGAAATGATTAACTATACACACTCATTGTTCATTCATCTGATTGAACGAGAACTGAACGCATCACATTACTTTAAATATGGCAACATTATTTTACAAAGTGACATTAGCTACTGTCAGTTGGCTTCGTCTAATTAAAAATACGACTATATATTCTGGTTGTAGCAAGAATGGGTCAGCTCGACCGGGGTAGGACCACGCTCTTACAATCAGCCCGGGAAAAGACATTCAAAGTTCCAGAGCATTAAAGTTATTTGTAAGGATATGTTAGAATGGATATGTATATATTATTTTCTTGAGAACTAATATTTAAGTAGAAATATGTAATACTTTTGTTAGGTATGTAACATTATGAACTCATTCCGATAGAGGAACATTAAACACAGCGTAATAAGATAAGCTAACGAAACTGTGCCATCCTACATGATTAAATTAAATGATATCTACTATTATATCATTTGAATAGAATAATGTAAAAAGTAATTGCAGTTATTTTAAAATATTACCTTTAAATACGTTTTCGTTATTAAGATTTACTTAGTGACGTCCTAGTATAACGTCCTACTCCTGGACCTCCTGGCCTAGTCTTTTTTCTGAAAGGGTTGCCTAACGATGTTCTCCCTCATCGCCGAAAACGTGGAAGGGTAAAACAGTAATTAATAATTTCATTGGCGCTGTGGCTGTGACTACTAACAAAATTATTTATTTTTTGTTACGAATATTTATGTTATTTTTGTTTTATCTGTTCTTTATTCAGCGATAAAAGGTTAGGTAGAAAGACAATAAACATTACGTGGCCAAATAGATGAATCTACCATCTCGTAAATACTAAATAACAAATATAAATATCCAAATCAGTCACGGGCAGCAGTGTCAAAAGTGCGAGATATTTTGTTGCTGCCAAGGCGCTTGCCAAGCGGAATCTTTAGCAAATAATTTGATTGATGATCCACTACCACATGTGATTTTTATTGGGGTACAAATACTTATTTTAAATGCACTAAATTGTACCGTTCATTTGGAAAATTGTAGTCAAGTAAGGGCGTATTTACCGTGGTCGTAATCCGAAGATTGATTCCTTTTCTTTTATGACCACGCTTTTCAGAAACATTCAAAGACGAATAGCTGCTGTATATGTCGTAGGATAATTTGATAAACCGAATTTTCCGCAAAATCTAGGGATATCCTATCCTCGCGATATCCCTAGATTTTTACCGAAAATTCGGTTTTTTTTATAGGATAAGGGTGACAAACGAGCACACAGTCCACCTGATGGTAAGTGGTTGTTGCGGCCCATAGACATCTACATCTATCCTCGATTACGAATCAAAATGCAGATGCGTTGTCACCCGAGAGGACTAAGATGGAATGCCTCATTTCCAGTAAAAAGGGTCTCCGGTTCTCTACACTCACCATACGAAACACAGCAGCGTTAAGCTACTATTTTACGCTGGTATTCTGTGAGAGCGTGGTCCTTCCCCGGTCGAGCCGACTCATTCGTGCCACAACTATACCACTAATATAGCTGCAGCATGGTTCTACCACGCAAAATACGATACTTTATTTATTAAAGAATAAAAGAACACATCATATGAATGTAATAACTCCTGGAGTATAATCTTTTAATTTTCAAATATAAATATTTGTAGATACAATTCAATTGTAAACTTTAGTATTTCAAAAATTTTGCCCGATGGGTTTCTTTTTGGTTATTAGCAGAACAGAATTATACATATTATCCGAATCCGTAGATATAAGAAAGATGTTCGAACCAGTGATAAGTAGGTAAATTAAAATTACTCAATAACAATTATGTAATAACCTATAATATATATGTAATAATATGGAATGAAAAGAATATTATATTGTATGCAATAATGATGTCCTCTGGTAATTTCATATCATATTATCTAATCTTAATAAATGCATATTTTATACTTATATTAAGATGATGAAATCTTATCGATAATAGCAAATATAATTCGTAGATTATAGGTGCGTGAACACCGAGTTTTTTTTTAAAAGGCGTTCGCGTTGCCATGGGCACGTGGCAATGTTTGTTTTCTTTTTAATTTTTTTTTATCAAATTGGGTCTCTTTGAAAACGAATAATACTTAAAAACATTAATTAATATGGGGACCCTTATAAGAAGCACTTTCTTCTTCAGCCCGTAAAAGTTCATTGCTGGATAATGGCCTCTGTCGTTATAAGAAGGATTCTCCATAGGTATATACATATTTATGTGTATTATGTATGGGAGGGAATCGCCACACTGACGGATTGTCGATCTTAGTACTCAGGTGCCTGACAACTCGCACCACATCTGACGCTGCTCACCGTTGCCGGTCTAGCCATTTTACGCCTGGCGTAAATTAACGATGTACCATATATCCGAAATTATTCGATCTTTCTGGCATTTCCCACAATCGACTGAAAAGAGTACATTGCAAAGTAAAATATGGTATTTCGCTTTTAAGTTCCTTTGCAAGCAATATTTATTAATAGCTCCATTAATCAATGAAATATTACATGTTCTGTTTATTATTTAAAAAATAGCGGGTTCAATTGTCGGCTTAACCTATTATTTATTCTGTGGCTTAACGAAGAATTTTCACTAAAATCTACAAGTACATTTTTATAATTTCTAAAGCAAATATTATCTATAATTCATAATTTTTGTATAAATTTAAAGTAAAGTTGCAGCCTATTTACGTCCCACAGCTGGGCACAGGCCTCCTCTCATTTCTGAGAGGGTTTTAGGGCAAGGAATTGTCCACCGAGCTGCCCTAATGCGTGTTGGCGAACTTCACATGTCTTCCAAATATTATTTTTCTTATTTCTCAGACATGCAGGTTTCCTCACGATGTTTTCCTTCCCCGCCGAGCGCGTGGTAAATCAGTACTTAAAATTGCAATTAACAATTTCATTGGTGCCGGTGGGGATCGAACCCGGGTTGCTCGAGTACTGTGAAGTACGCTAACCATCTGAGCTACCACGGCTCATATACATTTAAAACATACTATCAATACTATTATACGTGTTTAACATACGTATGTACCTTTAATTTTTGGACTAAAAAGTTTGAAATGGCTTAAAATATCTACTTTATATTTTTTTATACTGCCCCATCTCAACGCACACATGTAGCACTATATACCTACCTACTTCTCGATAAATAGGTTTTAAGATTTAAATTCACACCTACAGACTCTCGGGCACAGCCTTTTAATCATAATGTTTGTGTGAATCCATTTTTAGTGACTTAATACCAATTTACTTGATTTCAGGCATGCGTGGAATGCATCGATAGCGGCAAAATGACGAAGGATTTGGTTATTTGTATTCATGGTATGGCCAACACTAAAGAGGGCATGTATTTACATACAGAGGACTTCCTACAAGCTATAGCTGATCAACTCGAACGTAAATTGTCTAAGTAATCGTCAATATACAGCATTTCATATTCGTATCACACAATCTGTAAAAAATATTTCTCATATGTTGAATAATGTAAGCTAACAGTAATATTGATATGTTATTACATTTTTATAGAATTAATAAGACAGGTTATGGAGAGAGATTATTCCTACGAGCTATTGCTGATAAACTCAAGCGCGTATTGTCCAAGTAATCGTCAATATAAGCATTTCATATTCATGTTACACACTCTGTAAAATTATTTTTCAATGGATATGTTGAATTATATAAGATAACAGTAATATTGACATTATTTTTTACATTTTTTAGTTTTAAGTTAAAAATACTTTAAAATTTTTCCTGTCCGCGAAACAGACACAATAGTTAAACAATTGATTTATAGGACAGGGAAAGGGTTAATAAAAATTATAAATCATTTAAAAATCAAAGTTATTTTTAGTACCTACTTACACCGGATCCACACTCTGGTCTCAACGTTAACCCCAATACCACTCGTCCAATATGTGGATCGAGAAAATATCATTGGCAGTTGGCCGGCCCGTGTTGGTTTCATCAAAGAAAATCTGCGCCAATGATCACGATTCCTCCACACGTTAGTTACTTGTTCATAGTCTTACCTTATTGCGACGCACGTCAAGTGCGTACTATGTAAAAGTAGTCGTAAAATTATAGTATGTTATTTCTTGAAATTATTAAAATGGAATGTCGTCTTCCACTATTATTGGCTTTGTTCGGACTTAACCGGTATATAGTCAAGCAGATGGTTACCTAGCAAATTAACCACCCAACATTGTTAGTACGTCCAACATGTTTGGACCAATGTGTGGAGCTGGTATTAGTGCTAATGTTGATTGAGTGAATGATATTTTGAATGAATGAAAATATATCATTCATTCAGATGTAAATGAGCGTACACGAGTAGGATAATAATGTATCCCATTACATAAAAGACATTAGAAAGTCATTTCTTCAAATATATTTATCGTATTATATTTGTATTTTTTTAAATAAATTACCAAAAAAATTTAATTTTCTTTTATTTAACCCATATTGTTAAAGTATATTTTACATGTTGCTTCTGTATATAGTATATTACAATATATTAGGTAAAGCAAAATATAGTTCGTTGGCATCCGTGTTAGTCTTTCATTAATATATTATAATTTTAGAATATTTATGATTCAATTTATTTGTTTGTCCGTTTATTTAAATAAAAAGATAAATACAGAATGTTCCAAAAAAAGCAGAAGTTAACATGTAGAGCATTCTAAGAGTACCTACCCGAATCACATCTTTGATCTGTACATCACCTCCATGTAATCTATATTTTTGATAACGCTACATTTTTTAGTTTTCGAGTTAGTAAAGTTTGAAGGTTACTATATATATATAGGTTGACCTAGTAATGGTGGATAATCTGGTACGTACGTGTTCTGGGGAGGGGGAGGGTGGCCTCGGTTCCCTAAAAAAAAATTCTGTCCCAAACGGTTCGCGGTCTACGCCATGTTTTATAAAATTCCGAAAATTCGTACTTCTGCTCACATTTGTGGTCATCAAGTCCGCAGTTTAATGCCTAGATCGGATTTTTTTCTTTTAATGTGTTCCCTAATAATGATGTTTCTAAATTAACTTTAAAATTTTTCAACTACTATGGGTAGTATTTTACAAGATGGCACTAAACATAAGTTTAAATTTTTACTTCATTTAACTGCTAAGTTTGAGCACCTGTGGTGAAAAAAAACGTATGGGGCTGTGTGGCCAACCATTTAAAAAGTTTGCCTATATCATAAGGATTCTAAAACATCAACATACCATGTGCTTAATGTCATTACTTACTGAGCTATAGCCGTTAACGTGTAAAAGTAGGCATTTCATTACAAAATTACAAAATTATTGGCAGATAGTTTTTTTTAACATTGCATGTCTTTATTAGGTGAGTACATTTGTCGCCCTTGAAAATTTTACTTTACTACCTACTTGCCTTGTTTGGACGAATTCTAAGCTGTGTGAGTGAAACAACAAAAAATCTAAAGGGTTAATATCGGGTGATCTTGGTGGCCACAATATCGGTCCCATTCGGCCGATCCACCGGTCACGGTTGGCTTCGTTTAAGTAACTCCTTACTTGGAAGGCGTAATACAACATCATTTAAGTAAGACAACCGTAAGACAACCATCATTTTGGAGCCACATTCTTCGCCGGATGGCTAGTGGCTCATCTTCTAATAAATGGGGCAGCTCATTTTGCAGAAATTCTGAATAATTGGCCCCATTCAGTTTACCCGGCAATTCTAGGGCCCTATGATTCTTCCGTTTAGTATTCCTGTCCAATAATTTATTTTAAACTGGTATTGCAACCTATCTTTTCTCATCAAATATGGGTTTGTTCGCTGCCAACTGTGCAGATTATGCAAGTTAAGGTATTCGTCTCTTTTACACGTTGACTCGCTCCACAAAATTTTTCTTAAAAAGCCGGGATCTTCGTCCATTCGCCTCAGCATTTCTCTGCAAAAAGTAACTCGTGCTGGATAGTCAAGTTGTTGATGCGTTTGCACACGTGTAACATGATAAGGGTGATGTCTCCATTTTTTGAGAATCCGATGTGCTGTAGAGTGCGATACTTCAGTGCGTCGTTCTATATCTCGCATCGAAATGGACGGATCTTTTTCAGCCATATCATGGACAATTTCTTCAATGTCAATGTCAGGTATCGAACCCTGCAACTGGCACCAACAATACCAGCATCAGGCACTCTCCCATCTGAATAAATGCCGTGCACTCTAATAAACACGCTACATTCACCATAGATAAAATGCATGATAGCATACTATTGGGGTGTGTACATTTCTCGTGACATGATACAGTCATCTTGTTATGCACAAATCAGAGAAGACTGAGAATCAAGAGAATACTGAGAGTCCAGTAGAATACTGAGTTGTCACAATTATCACCAAACATTCAATATCCAATCAAAATGCACAAGTCTAGAGTCCAGTAAAATGCGAAATAGTATTTTAAAGCCAAAATACAGAAATAATAGAGCACATGCGATGTCGAGACGGTCGAGATACGCACTATCCATATTTAACAATAACCAAACACGAATTCATACAATGGAGTATCTGTCGATCCTTTTTACTCACATTAATCCTAAGCATCGTTTGTCTCGCTCACACAGCTTAGAATTTGTCCAAACAAGGCGAGCTGGTAGTAAAAGAGAAGCGTCAGTAGCCTAATGGCAGGGCGTGGACCGCGAACTCGAAGGGTCGTGGGTTCGAATCCGCCATTCGACTACTGTCGTGAACCACTTCTAACACAAGCATTTTAAGCTTATCAGAAGTGGTTAAAGGGAATATTAGTAATGTTTAATAATATTACTAGTATTTAAAAAAAAAGTAAAATTTTCAAAGGCGACAAATGTACTTACCTAATAAAGACATGCAATGTTAAAGAAAACTATCTGCCAATAATTTTGTAATTTTGTAATGAAACGCCTACTTTTACACGTTAACGGCTATAGCTCAGTAAGTAATGACATTAAGTACATGGTATGTTAATGTTTTAGAATCCTTATGATATAGGCAAACTTTTTAAATGATTGGCCACACAGACCCCATACATTTTTTTTCACCACAGGTGCTCAAACTTAGAAGTTAAATAAAGTAAAAAATTTTAACTTACGTTTAGTGCTGTCATGTAAAATACTACCGATAGTAGTTGAAAACTTTTAAAGGTAATTTAGAAACATCATTATTAGGGAACACATTAAAAGAAAAAAATCCGATCTAGCCATTAAACTGCGGACTTGATGACCACAAATGTGAGCAGAAGTACGAATTTTCGGAATTTTATAAAACATTGCGTAGACCGCGAACCGTTTGGGATAGAATTTTTTTTTAGGGAACCGAGGCCTCCTCCCCCCGCCTGAACAAGTACGTGCCAGATTATCTACCATTACTGGGACCACCTGTATATATTGAAAGTTACCGTGTTAGGAAAGAATTACACCACTACACCACTATTTATTAATTATGCGATTCTAAATAAGATATGAAACGATTCCAACTATAAAAAGAGATAGTAAGACATAATATAGCAGACAAAGCAAATAACAATGATATACCTATTATGTAGTTATACACAAATTATTGATTTGCAATCACAATTTGGAAGTTCATTTTTACATCTTCGAAATAAAATATGTATTAACAAAGACGGGTAGACGGCAATATATACAATATATATATATATATATATATATATATATATATATATATATATATATATATATGTATATAGTGTACATTGAATGGGGGTGATAAACAAGCACACAGTCCACGTGATGATAAATGGATGCTGTAGCCCATAGACATCTATATTTATCCTCGACCTCGATTAACAATTAAAATGCAGATGCGTTGTTTTTATTTGCTTAAGATAATATAATGCCTCATTTACAGTAAGAAGGGTCTCCAGTTCTCTACACTCTCCATACGAAACACAGCAGCAATAAGCTGCTATTTTACTCTGGTATTCTGTGAGTATGGTCATCATGTCTGTTATCATGGTCATCATATGTGTCATAGTTAGCTAGGCTAACGATTACATGGTCATTATCACGTAATCACGGACAAGTCAAGCACCTCAGTCCCCCCATGTCGGATTTTATTAGTGGTAGTGCAACTCGGCAGCTTCTACTGCTGCACGGATGGGTAGCATCTAACCGGGGAAGTGCCACGACCTCGCAGAATGCCATCGTTAAGTAAAAGCTTTACTTCTGCGTTTCCCTTGGTAAGTCCAGGTGGCCGGAGGCTCAACCTCCTACCCCATTACATGGTAGAGGAATTTAAAAATAAGAGACTAGTCCTAGAGGGTACCAGTACCCTTGGTCATGGAGAATCAATCACTCACTAAACATTGACACCGCAGCTACTCTATTCTCCATGAGCGTGGGTGCTCAGGCTGCGGGGAAATCGGCAGATTATCATGACGATATGAATGCA